TTGATCAAACCCCGAGACATCTACCAAAACCCCCAGACAACCAGTCAATAACCGGCTGCCTTCTTTGCTCATGTTGTCGGGAGCACAAATAACTGGGCAAAGCTACCAGAGGTTCCAAGGCCCACCCCGCCTCCCCGGGGCCCGGGAAACAAAGAGCAGCCCTGGGTAGTGAAGGACACGTGGACACTGTCGCGGCAGCTGCTTTCTCAGCCTCATCCGGACTGAAAATCCATTGTGGGGAAGCTTGTGTCGCCCAGTCCCACTCTGCCCGAGTGTGGCAGGCTCAAGTACAGGCCAGCACAAGGCCCCACAAGGCAGAGAGCAGCCTTCCAACCTCCATTTGTCACTAGTGGTAGAACTATATTAATGGGCCTCTGTTCTCATCTGTGGGATGGGGCTAGCGTAGTGCCCATCCCATAGGGCTGAGCACTGGGCAAGCCAAGAAGGTAGATGAGACCCTGGGCTGTCTTAAGCATGAGGACATGGACTGCTATTCCCAGGGCACTTGCCAGGCATTGTCACCCTCATCCCTGTCACTGGACTGAGCCTCCACATCCCTATCTCCTAACATGTACAGGTCTCCTCTCCCTCCTCCTCTCTCCGTCTCTCCCTCTCCCTCTCTCCCCACCAAGTGCACATAAACCTCCATTCCCACTTTCCCTTCAGCAGATTTGCACTGAAAATGCCAACCCCCTTGCTGAGTCCTTTCTGGACTGGCGCACAAGGGCCCTGCCCTCTCTCAGCTAGTAGTGTTCGTGCATCTGCCAGCCAAGTGGGTTTAGGAAGGGAAATTGCAAAGTGGAATCCTAATGCATTCCAAATAGAAGCAGTTTCTGTGGTACTGGCTGTCTGGGCAGAATTGTGCAGCCAATTCCTCCAGGATGGGGCTGAGTGCAAAGGCAAAGTCATAGTCACTAGCTGGCACTGGGTTCGAGTCACGATGGTACCAAACTGCAGAGGTGAGAGTCAGCTTCAAGGTCCACTGCGTTACTGGCAGCTCCATGGGTAGCACTCAGGGGCCCTGAGTGTCCTGGCCCATGTTTCCAAGGGCTCCACTCAGGGCTTTCCCTGCAATTTGTTTCCAGGTTCTGTAGGCTCCACTTGTCTGATTAGGAAACCTTCTGCCCTGTCCTTTCAACAGGACGCTCAGAGCAGGGCTCCAAGCCCAGCCCTCTGTGCCTCAGCTGGCACTGATCTCTTCTGTCTACTGTGTCATTTGCCAGGACTAGAGTTCCTTCCTCCTCCCGGGAAGCGTGAGGCCCCAGAGAGCCCCTTCCCCTCTGGGTATACCCTAAGACCTCAGACTTGCCTTGCATGCACTACTGCCTGAGTATGATCAATACCTCTGTATCTGCAGAAGACCCCAAAGTGGGCATATCAGGGAGCAGCAGCTGGAGGAGTATTGCCTGGGCCTGCCTGACCTGTGGGGCTGAGTGTGCTGCACTGACCAGCTCCACCACCTCTCTGGGTCTCTCTTCTGCCACCTGGGCAGGATCTTGATGTGCAGAGGAGGCAGGGGACTGCCTGTGCCACTGGTGATTAAAAGGCCCTCTCAGCAAGAGCGGACTTGTGCTGAGAGCCAGCTGAGGTTTCATTAATGGCTCTGACTCCCAGGAGCCTCATCAGCTCAGCCAGGAGTCCCCATCAGCTGGTATTCTCCCCCTTGAACAAGGCTTGGCCAGAGAAGCCAGAGAGACTCAGGTCTGGGGAGGGACTGACCCCTCAGTAGGGTAGGGTGAGGATCAGATTTCTCTTCCTGCCCACTAACTACACACACACACACTCAATGCACATAAACACACCTTCCTATAAAAAAAATAGAGGACCTGTAGCCATGGGAATCTGCATCTCTGTCTGCCTAGGAAACTTCCTGGTATTCCTATTGTTCTGGTGTGGCTATTAATAGTGCCACCTCCTACTTGGGATGATGACATACGTGGCCACCTACCTGAAGGAGCTAAGGATCGAGAGAGAGTGGGGGGTGCGGCCTGGGAGATGAGAGGAGAAGAGCCAGTCCTATCTGCTTTGCTCTCTGTCGGGATTCTGCATCCTGGACAGGGCCCCTTAGAGAAAGCCTAGCAAAGATTGCTGTAGCCTCCCAACTCAAATGTAATGGCTCTCATGTCAAATTCAGGGACATGAACCACATGATACTCTGATTTGCAATCTCACCATGTAGCAAAAACCCTTAACTTTGGGGCAAGGTGAATGATCATCTCTGCTATTATAAATCACTAAGCATTTCTTATCAAGGTATCCACATAGCCGGTGCACATTTATCTGTGCCAATGAATCAGTTTTCAAAGGTAAGTCCCCAGGGAAGAGGGGGAAAAAATTTTCATCTTGAACGTCAGCACTGGATCTGACTGTTTGTAGCGGCGTGGCGGTGGCAGGATCAAGAAGGAGTCTGAGGTCGTGTCCCAGCTGAACATCAGCGCAGCACACGTTACATCTACTTGTGGCACGGGACATGGACTGGTGGGATCCTTGCCTGCTATCTGCCCCTCTTGTCCCAGCTGGTACCAGATGTCATGGAGTTTCTTCCTGTTCCCTTTTCTCGTGTGCTGTGCTTGCTGCACATTCACGAATGACACTGGGGACACTGCCATGCCTCCAGGGTTCTTTCTCCAACAGCAGCATAGCCTGACTACAGAGAGGGAACAGGGCTGGCTGCCTGTCCTTGAGAAGAAAATTGGGTAAGTCTGGGACCAAAAGATAGCCTGGTTGGGCAAAGATACCTTTTCAGATTAGAGTCAGCTCCAGAGAAACTGTCTGCCCCAAGCCGGTGTTGAGCAGAGCTGTGTCGCCTCCAGCTGATACTCTGATACTTGGACATCCTGCCCACCCCTATTCTGTTTTCCTTCTTCCAGGCCTCAGCACACGGCCTCTAAGTCAGGACACGGGGAAGTGGGCCCCACCTCTGGCTCTCAGAAGCTCACACCTTGCCTGCTTGCGCTGAGAGAAGTCCTTTCAGAGGCAAAAGAAGGTGACCCGCTTGGGTCCTCAGCTGACAGTCAAAGGCTGCATGCCAGTGACAGGTGCGTCTTGGAGGGCTGACCGGCCTCTGCACTTGCAGCCACCCACTCCAGGCAGGATGTGATGCTGTCGGGTTTCCAAGGAAGTGTTCGTGAACAGGCCCATCTGTCCAGATGATTCTCTCCCACACCACCCGAGGTCACAAAGCCTAAAGTGGCCAAACTTGGGCGGAAGGGTCTGTTCTCCGTGTGGGCTCTCTTCTTGGCTCTTTCCTATCACTGGCCTTGCATTCGATCCAACAGGATGGTCCTCCCTGCTGGCCCATCCTGTTCTACTCCATGAGGCAGGCTGACGAGGCATGTCCAAGGGAGGGGTGCCAGGGCCCCTTGATGGGACCAAAATCTGCGATGCTCAAGTCCTCTATATAAAACAGCATAGTATTTGCAGATAAGCTATGCAATCCACCTGTACATTTTAAATCGTCTCTAGACATTTTTAACACCTAATACAATCTAAACGCTATGTAAATACTGCTGTGCTGTATTGTTTAGGGAATAACGACGAGAAAAAAAATCTGTATTTGTCTTGTACAGATACAATTTTTTGAAAATATTTTCCATCCATCCTCTGTTAAATCTATAAGACACAGAATCGGTGAGCAGGTAGCAAATGAATTATTATTTGCCCGCCTTGTGCATCGAGGCACGTGAGAACGGTGTGAGCTTGGGGGAGTGACCAGTAAGTCACTGGGCTCGGCTGTCTTGCTGTGTAAGGAAAGGCAGATTCCCATGATGCTGGGATTGAGCGGTGGCTGATGTCCCCATGGCCCAGGAAACAATCACACTGGCAGAATTAGGAGGCCAAGGGATTCCAGACACTGGTAGTCCCAGTGAAGGAATCTGCAGGACTGGCTGAGGTTAAGCATACTATACTCTCCACTTTCCCCTTAGACTTTATCTCAATACAGTCTTAAGTGATGTCCGCATTAGCTATGTAAATTCTGCCTCGGGCTCTGGAACGGAGTTGAAAGTCATGACTCCAACAAGGAAGCAGGCTCTCTTTCTGAGAGGAGGCAGTGGGGATAGAGGAGCAGTTCACCAGTGCCGGTGGGGTGCATCCTGCCCAACAAGGACGGTGACACACTTTTCAGGGCTTGAGCTACATGCAGAGCCCATCCAGAGCTCTGAGGGCTCTCAGATAATAGCAGAGATGATCATCTTACGTCTTGTCCACTTCAAGGTCCTGAAACGCCTCAGGTTCTTGCTGTGTTTAGAGTGCCCTAGGACAAACTGTAAACCCACAGTTGCTTGCGTGTGCTAGCGCTGGTCTCAGTTCAGGATCAGCACAAAGCAGGTCCAGAGAGGAAGACCTAGCTCACTGTCAGGGATGCAGGACCACCCGGAGCAAGCAGGAGGTGATGCAGGGGCAGGAAAGTGGCCCGGAAGGGCAGGCCATCAGGTCAGCTCCCACGTGGCCAGCTGGGACTTCATCCCTTGGGAGTCTTCAGGGACCTAAACAGATTCTTTTGAGTCCCCCCAGCTGATTCCCCACTCCTGCAAAGCAAACCTTTACAACTTCAAAGGAAGCCCTCAGGCAAAGAGATGGAGAACCTGGCAGGCAAAAGGCAACAGGAGCTTGGGAGTCCTGAGGCCACGGGGATGGCAGGTACCGAAGGCAGTGCCTCCCGCTCCCTCATCCCTGCCGCAAGCCCTTTCCTGCTCTATGAGCAGCTGGGAGACAGAAAACGGTGCAACGCTTCTTTCTCAGCCCCAGCTGTCTCTGAACCCCTCCTCTGCCCTTCATCCTATTGTCACCTGGACCACAGAAGCTTTGCTGGGCCTAGGGCAATCATCCACTTCTAGAAACATCTTGGAAGTCCTTTATTCCATAACCAGAATGCAAGTGCCCTGGGGCTGGAGACAATTAGATGTGATTACAAAAGGGCCTCCGTGTCCTTTTCTCTCTGCAGCAGATGTTCCTGTCATGCGGTCTGAAGAAGTCCAGATGTGTTTGCTCAGGATGTGGAGCTGGGGCCTCCCAGGAGCAGGGATGAAAGAGTAGCTACCCAAGAGCAGCTGGTACACAGAGAGGCCGGTGCAAAGCAGGGCTGGGGCTGGAGGCCTTGAGACCATGGGGAGGGCGGGGCTGTCTGCAGAGAGAAGGAGCCAGAGCCAGGCGGGCCTAGGGTTTGGGCCTGGGATGCCGCTGAGTCACTGACCCATGTGCTGAGGACTGGACAGTCCAGCCCTTGGCTCTGAGCCGGAGTACAGCGCACTGTGGGTTGCACTAGATGGCGAGCCCCATGAGAACAGGTATCTTCTTGCTGGCTGCTGAATGCAGGACACCGAGCACAGTACAAATGGTGCAGGAAGGAAACAAGGGAAGGAGGCAGCAAGGTGAGTGGAATAACAAAACACAGCTCACCACATCATAGAACCAGAAGAGGGATCCTGAAGTGGGAACATGTGAGGACTACCTAGGACAGAGGGGAAGCGTCAGGGTGAGGGGTAGTTGTGACCCTAACCTCCCAGTTGCTTCCTTCCAGGTTTCTCTGCCTCAGCCAGCAACGCCTCACGGACCTAGCTGCCAAGCTAAAACCCTCCTGACCCCCCTCCACTCCTCTCTTCCTCTCATGGCCCTCCCTGAAGGCTGTACTCTCCAAATGGATCTAGAGGTCAGTCATGTCCGGGACACTCCTCTGTTGTCGCACGGTCCACGCTGCCTGCCTCACCAGCCTCCAGCTGCTCACTCCTTCTGCTCGATCTTCTTCCATGACCGTCTCTGCACTCCACCCATGCATGTGTTTGTCTTCAGCTATGTTCTCTGTCTTCCTCCCCAGGAGAACGGAAGTCCCCCGTGTCTGTGGCCTGTGTCTCTGCTGGCCTCTCCTGCTGTGTCCCTCAAAGGGTGCCTGGCACAGGATCAATATGAAGGTATTGAATTAATTCCAGCTGAAGACTTAAGACCCCATAGGTATCACGACCATGGCTTCATCTTTTCCCTCTGCTCAAGGTCCTGTAGCAATCTCCAATCTTTTCCCCAAAGGTAGAGGATGAAGGAAGCCACATTAATCCATAATGTAGTAAGAAAAGCTCAGTTATGCAAAGCAACATGAGAGAAGGGACAGAGCCACTTCATGGTCCTGTCTAATCCTCAGGGGGTCCTGCCCAGGGTAAGCACTCAGAACACTTTCATGGAGCAGAAGTTAGCAGCCAGCATCCTCTCTTCCCAGCCCAGCCTGACCCTCCCTCCATTCCATCTGCTTGGTCCTTTAGCTGTCCTCTAAATCAATGCATGTGGCTACCTAGGCCTGCCTCACAGCCCTGGATCCATGTTCCGACACACAACAGCCGCTCGATGTCTAACGGTGAATGAATGGATGGGTGAATAAGAAAGAAAGAGCAGGTTGGTGAACCCCAACAAAAACTGGTGGAAACTTCTGGCTGGATACACCCAAAGCCAGGTGAGAATGAATAACCCAGGGGAAAGACTCATCTGGCCCCAGCTAACAGAGAGGCAGACACGCAGGTGGAGGACACGAGTGGGTACCTACGCCATCCACAGCAGACAGCATGCAAAGCTGGGGCAGCTGCTCAGAGCCAGCAGGGCAGGAATGCATGAGCTACGCAGCAAGCTGCCTGAGTGCTGGCAGGCCCAATTCGAGCAGAGCCCTAATGCTGCTCGATTGCAATCTGTGTTTATGGGCCCATAATCAAATGGAAACTGAAAGTTTCTCATGAGGATCATCTGTCAAAACCGTGTGGTGTCCAGGTCCTGCACTAGGAGGCTGGGTTATAAATACCACACTTTGCTCCAGCTCTGCTCCATCTCCAGAGATTCATAGGTCATTTTTCAACCCCAGCACTAATCTGAGGAGCTCGATCTTCAATCAGACACTGTGTCTAACAGGCTGGATATTTGGGATACTGATTGTCCCCTGTAGGATCAGGAAGGTAAGAGCGATCACAGGAGATGAATCCATCAGCCAAGCTCCCCTCTCCTATAAGCAGAGCCTCTCTCTGCCACCTGCATCCAGGACCCAACTTAGCAGCTGCTGTGCCCTCAGGCAGACACTTCCAGGCGCCTACCACAGCCTGTTGCAACCAGAGTGGGCACCAAAGGATCTGCGACACAACAACTCCTTTGAAACAGTGGTCTTCCTAATTACAAAGGCAGCTCGATGCAGTCAAAGTGAAAAACCGAAAAGCACAAGGAAAAAGAAAAACTGCCTGTAATTCCTTCACGAGAGGAAATCTCTTTAACATTTTTGGTATATAGATTTCCATCCTTCTTTCTGTCTCCTCCCAGTATTTTTTTCTTTATTAAATACACCACGTGGCATATACTGAGTTCTAGCCTGCTGTCCTTCCACCCACACCACTAACTGTTATATTCCGATCATCCCTCCACATCACAGTCTTTCCTAGAGCACAATTTTTAATTGTTAAAGCCACATTAATTTTCTTGGTCAGTTCCTGCTATTGAACAATTGGTTTGTTTCCATTCCTTCAATAGTGTAAGAGATGCTGTGAAAGAACATATTGTACATGGATCTTTGTACAAATCGGATCATTTCCTTGAGATAAATTTGCAGGAGGGAAATTGTGCTGGGTCAAAGAATATGGATATGTTAAAAAAACATATATATCTTTTGATCCTTCCTACACTGTCTCTTATGTTCCGTGCCATCAAAAAGACCTAGATCTTTCTAGAATAATTGTATCTAGTGGCCAATTCAGGATAAGAGCAGAGTAAGGAGAGTAACATTGTTTCTCACAGATGTGGATAAGACAGTTCATCTCTCTGCTTATAGTGGCTGTGTTTAGAATCATACTTTATCTCCTTTGGCCACCTACAACAGATCTGGAGACAGGGTTATGGATTGGAGTAGTAATTCCTTTTAGGAAGTGGTCTCGAGCCCCCAAACTCCTAACTTAAATGGAAAGTTAGAATTCATCTGAAGTGTAACATCACACCTGCTCTTTGCTGTTTAGGGCTTTTGACCTGAACCCATTGACTTAGCTGGGTGATCTTGGGGAGAGCCCTGGTTTAGCATAAGACAGAGAAGATGGCTAGGCTGGTTTAGCTGCCAAAGGCAATTAGGAGAAAGCCAGTTAGAAGGGTTGAAAGAGCAATTACAGGAGCAAGTGTTCTGATTTGGCTTGAGTGGTGCATTTAAATGCACCTAAAATGTCAGGGGACAGTGACCTCCCTGGGTTCCTTGCTAATTAATCTCCATTCATCCTTTCTTTATACAAAGTCATACAAACCACCCTGAGCCTCCTATCCAGAACTTTCCCTTGAAATACAAACAACAGGGCACCTATCAGGGGTGGGGCCAACCACTGGAAAATTGTAAATAGGGCCAAGATTGACTTTGGGGGTCTTCAACCTTGCGGACAATGTCTTTCTCCTTTCCAACCCTACTCTCCTGGAGTACAGCATTGACTGCCTGCTGCTTTTTCCCCCTGGAGAGGTGAAGGAAACACGGGGTTTGTAAGTAAGAGAATGTCTGAGCACCCAGTCTCAACTCTTAATTCACTGTGCAGTCTCAGGGAATCTATTAAACCTTTCTGGTATTCTCATCTGGATAGTGGCACAAAGACGCTTACTTAATTTCTTGTTGGTTTGGATGTACAAGGTGATCAATAAGTGCAAAAGTGGCCAGTGCGTTGTTTTGTACATAATAGATGCTCATTGACATTTTTTGCCATTTTTCCTGCCTACAGACCCAGCGTGCTTTTCCGGCAAAGGCTGAGAATCCCTTACAACAGCCATGGCTTGGGAAAGATCAGCTATGGAATGATAAATGTTGGGGATCCTCTAGGAATTTATCTCAAGTCATTAATCATAGATTTAGTGGCAGAATTATTCTTGGTAATATTGTTTAGAATGCCTGGGCATCAGATGCATTCTAAATGTGAAGCTATAGAGTACTAAAATATATGTATATATAAAACATGCATGTAATAAAACACTATTGATACGAATTTCAATCCATGAGGTAAAAAAAATATAATCTCAGTTTTGGTGTACGTTTGGGTTGCTTTATTTAGTGGATTGCTAGACATCTTTTTTTTTATAATAGAGTCATTGTATTCTTTAATGTACACTGCCCAGCCATGTAATATGTATGTCTTTGTATTTGGTTATTTTGCTTCTTTCTTATGGGTTGTCTGAGAGCTTCATAAATAGACTTCCTGTCTGCAGTTTGTGCTATTAACATTTTTCTCATTAGCCTCTTGTCTTTTGACCCCAATTGTTCCTTATCTTCATTTGTTTCCCCCACACAAAAGTTTTAATTTTCTTCCAACTACAATGTTATATATTTACCCCAGTTTCTCCTATTACTTTCATTGCTTCAGTTCTTAAACATTTTAATCCTTTATCTTTCTGGGGTACATTTTGACATGAAGTTAGGTAGGAAACCAGTTTTGTTTTTCCAAAGAGTTAGCCTGTTGTCCCAAACCACTTATTGGATAATCCCCTTTTTGGACAAATCCTTTCAATAAATCCTTTTTTAAGAGGGTCACAGAATCTTTTGAGAATTTGATAAAGGCTATGGATCCCCTTCCCAAGAAAAGATGTGTGCACAAGATTCCACTACATTTTGCAACCTCCCAGGCACCCTTGACCTCCTGAAGCATAGATATTAACTCTGAAGGATCTGCAATCTTCAGATAAAACCCCCACCTTCGTTTGAAAGAAAGGATCAGCGAGGAATCACACTGCAGAGAAGAAGATGCTAAAGTTAGTCCCAGAACCTCCTCCAAGCAGAAGGACGCCCACTGACCCTCAGGCCCACTGGACAAATCTCTAGAAGCTCTACCCTTTCAGGTGCCCAGATGTGACTCTGTCCCCAGTCTGGAACTTCTGCTGCCCTGGCAGCCCACAACCTCAGGTCCACCGTGTGCTTCGAGTCCAGGAATATCCCATTTCCAGCTCTGTCCCTTCCCTGCTCCTTGGACAGTCAGGACATAGGTCTTAGCCTCAAGAACAGTGTCCACCTCAGTGGTGGAGAAGGCAGGCAGTTTCCTGCAAAGGGACTTTGTCCAGGAACCTTCACCTCCCTGCCCTCTATGTTCAGAAATCCATCTCATTTCAACACCCGTGAACCTAGCATCTACGAAGTTCAGTCACTATGAAGGGACTGGCAGTAATGGGTTATGCATCCAGTCCCTCCTCTTGAGCAGCCAGAGTATGGTTCCTGGAGATGGAAAATGGTAGCAGGGGCCCTGGCTTGCGTCAGCTCACCGTTGACTGCTAAATTTCCAGTGATATTACGAGCAGTTGTGAGAGCAGCAATAGCTTGAAATCACTACCACTGGGATATTTACATCATGGAAACTGGCAAATCCCACAATTCAGGTATTTTCCAGGTGAAGTGAGGACTGCAACTGTGTGATCACTCCATCCACTCTGATCCCCACTTTTGTGTCCCTCAACAGGATAATAATTGCACCTACACACACTGCTGTCATGAGAATAAAAGGAGACCATCCACGCATGCTCATTGCTCAGGGTGCCCATGAAGGAGGTGCCCGACCAGTCACAGCTGTGGTCCCTTTCCTAGTGTAAGGACATTATCACACATATACAGAACTCTCAGCACAAGGTATCTGATGAGGGTGAGGTTAACTCTACTTGGGGACAGGGCAACTAAGTCCCGCAGGATCAGATGGATGCTACCAAGCAGACAAGGTGAACCAGGTGGATTAGGAAGGGAACAGCGTCAGGGAGCAGGGATGGTGTGCACAGGAGGGAGCTGGGGAGCGGCTTGCAGGAAACCTGGAGTGCCGGCCATGTGGGGCCAGCAGCAAAGGGGCCAGAGATAGAACATCTAAAGGCTCTAGACTGCACCAGTCTCCAGGATGACCCACTGTCCCCAAAGACAGCAGAATGTCCCCAACAGTCAGTCACTAGTTGA